TTGGCTCAGACGGTTCATGAGTGATTTCTCTAGGTCACCTGTTACATGTGGTATGATGTATTGGAAAGCGTTATTTGCCGACTTCACAAAACTCGGTCTTCCTCAATAGCATAATTCTGTCCAGTACTGACAGATTTTGCACACATATTGCGCCAAGACGAGGGTAAAGCCAGCCGGGGCTTGTAGAAGAAATAGCAACATTAAAGTTCGACTGATGCAAAACAATCGGATGACGTATTTTGTTCCGCCAAGGTACTCCAGCTAAACAAGTATTCTTGACATATGGACAGTGTTCTTCAGGTGCGTTTTTTCAAATCCCTTGTTCACCATTTAAACCATAAATTTTTGTATACAACCAGGGAAGTGCAAGCAAAGTTTAATCGCACAATCAGATGCCCAAATGACAGAGGAAGCACATATGTTTGTAAGAGAGTCGTGAATGCGTGATTTTAGAACCATCACTTCATATAATACGTAGTAAGCAACAGTAATGTAGATGAAAGTACGGTAAAATGAAGCAGTAAAATGTGATGTATGTCGACACGCCAACAGTCTTGCAGCAGGCCAGCCTATTTGGGCTCGTAGTTTATTATATCCCGTTTACCATGGGTCAAATTCCCGTGGATCATATCTTAGTCGGTTTTACAGTAGCGCCTCAAACGTGCAAGAGCTAAGGTTTAAATCATCGGACTAAATGCGGTTCTCCAATTTCCGTAATAAGCGAAATTCTTCCTAATGACAGGCTTTTAATCAAGGAACTTGTTTATGTTCCTCAAGGTTGATACCGAAAATGCAATCCATAGCTTCCACATAATCAGTTCATTATTGTCGTTCGTTGCTTCATGCTGCAATGGCTTTTGACAACCATATGTCTTCATACTAATTGTCTGATTTAGCTTGAGCATCGTCGTGATTTTTTGCTGGTGTACGACGGACAAATCAACTCAAATCTGCTCCTTGGTAAATGGACTGGAGATCAATTGCCACCCTCTATTGTGTCAACGGGAAATAATTTGAGATTGGAGCTGACCACTAATGGCGCGCTTCGACGCAAAGGGTTTTTAGCGGAATATCGCTCTCGTGAGTTCAAATCATAAAAACAATGGCATCATGTTGCAGCCTACCTACGTGCATACCTGCTGAGCCTGTTCACTGGAAAAGGCTAACGAATTTATCATTTTTTTCCAACTCACTGTGCACAAAGATTGCCATGATGAACAGTGGCAAGCGGGTAAAATCGTACTACATTATTATTGTTTTGAAGACAACGGGGGCATAATGGGTAACAAGCTAACCGACTGTTCTGGGCAATGTCTATTCTACGTTATTTCTACAAAGCGCGATATGACTCCCCGCAGTTGGAAGACTATATTTTCTACGAGCGCACAAATGTCCACCAATGAATTTATGCTCTACAGAAATGCAGAATGAGTACTTTAGCAACAATGCAAAGTATTCTGAGGCCTAACTATTCCGCAATACCGTTTGTTTAAGGCATCATCGCTAAAAAATCATGTAGTTATGTTTGAAAATTCATGGGCAAAATTTTCTGCACAAGAGTCTTTTCACTTCAAGAATTGTATTGTATTATATTGTTCTTTCAATTTTCAGATAGCTAATTTACTCTAGGTTGAGACCTGCGGTACTTGTGGGAGGGTGTTGCGGGTGAAATACGTATCCTCGAGTTTTTTTAGGAGGATTTAAGAAGCCTTAAAGAGAAAATGCTGTTTTATGTACAATCTTTTCCAAAAGAGTTTAAAGGCTGACGACGGATTCCACGTGGTATAGTGAGTGCACTACGCTGACTGCTGCGTCGACGATAGTTGCCATTTGTAATATAAGATGCAATTTACGGGCGATGCATCCAAGGCATTATAAAATTTATCCCATCAAACATAGGGAAGGTTTTCTCTCAGGCCCCACTTGGAATGATTTCACTTAGATATATACTAGTTTACAAGCATGGATAAAGTTGCGAATATAAACGTACAGCGCGATTCCAAGACATCCATATTAACGCCAATGCTCTCGGCCATGCATATAAGTGCGAGCAAGCTTCATAAATGCCTAACACCGATGGATTGGAGTCTTATCACCTAACACTTAGAAGCTATTCATTCACGTAATATGTGCGCATTGTAGTTCAGTGATAGAAGAGACGCGGTCCAGCGTTTTCATTTGTGATGACAGTAATATGGAATGTGGTGACGACACTTTATCTTATCATTGCATCAAATCACGAAGAGCTATCCATAAACTACATAAATCTAACGAAAAAGCCATTTGCATAGTTTAAAGTAAACTGCGATGTCATAGAATTTAGAATATATCTCGCACACAGAGTTTTACACGACTTTTTCTAAGTAGAAGCTCTGCTTCCAAAGCATTGCCTGGTATATTATATATTGTTTCCTAAACTTTTCAACGTCACTCCCGTTATAGGCTGTCTACCTGGTGGTAAGTCTTTGGTTGTTAAAACATTTAAGTGTACAGTTAATTCAGTGGAATTTGTGCAATGGCTTGCAAGACCCAAACTCTTGATTCTGGATAAAAGTCATTCTCAGTTTTCGTACTCCATTTTGATGATGAGACAACACTTTTATGGAATTAATTTAGTCTAAGCGCATCAAATAAATCACAAGCTTTCGTTCTCGCTGAGTGCACATCATATGGGCCACCTCAGTTTCCAGGCGAAACAACATTTTACGTATGATGGTGTGCACTCTTAATGTTCGTGTACCACGCATGCTGCTGCTGGAAAATGCTTGAAAATCTTCAACACACATTCTGGCTTCACATGAAAATATGACTAAATTAGGTTTTAAACTGATATGAACCTAATCTGCAAGCAACCTTTTATAACATTTCTTAATGATCTAAGATTTCCCTCATGATGTGTTGATTCAAGAAAACATTTTTTTAATAATCAGTGTGGAAAATGCAAAGGAATCGGTCGTATGAGACGCCATCCTCAATTTGTTTGCGTTTGATTTTGTAGTTCCCAGCATAGGTGAAGGAACGATGAGAACCAACTGCACCACCAGTTTTGCAAGCCCGGCAAACAGCATCGCTTCACCAAATTACCCAAGGAGCTATCAAGCTAACCTAAACTACACGTGGACCATTTCCCAACCTGAAGGTTGTGTCGTCCGGTTGCAGTTTGAAGACTTTGAAGTGGGTCGAAATGTTTTGAAATTTTCCGTGTTGATCGTCATTGCAATCGCTTGAGGTAGGTCTCGGTACGCCACTTCCTGCGAAATGGTAGTTGTGATACCCGATATGCGAAAAGACTAATTAAATAGCTCACTGGAAACGCCTTAAAGTTCATACAGTATGCAGGTTTGTGGCCACAAGACTTCCTAAATTTTAACAACGTGCTGCTTCATATCTATAAACCAGCTAGTAATACGTACTTTGGAAAAGTGGAACGTAGACCACATTTTGGAACTTTGAGAATGTGGTGTCCTGAAACTTTTATGTTGAATTAAATCGACTTTTGACTAGCCCACATTTATTGCCTGCAAAGTTGTCCAGAGGACATGTAGGCTCTGCAAATTATTAGCTACTTCTCTCAGCAAAGCCCATGAATGAGGCGAGACCTAAAATATGATATGAATCCCTCTTGGCAGCTGGAAAACCTTCCCACTCAGTTCCATCCCACATATACTTGACTTCAAGAGCACAACACCTTAGCTGATTGATGTTGGAGATAAAACAATTCCTTTGGTCCTCCATGTTTTTCGAAATTGTCATCAGCCTATCCGAAGGAACAGAAATTACGTTGCAGTGTGACTGCGTAATTTTAACACCCACTGGGCTTCAGTTTCTGTAGTGCGCTTAAACTACATGGCTTCAATCGTGCGTTCGGTTCGCGCCTTAGTTTCAACCTTTCATCGTTATAAATGATAGCAGCATCCAGAAATTCATAGCTGGCGCAAACCTTTATTGTAAATAATCACCCAGCGAAATTGTAATATGTTTTCAACTCCGACGTATGCAACTCAAAGGGTTTTTGTTTTATCACATGAGTTTTCCTTAAAGTCATAGAACCAAATTAAGCATGTTGCTTTACCTTGTACCCAGGAATACATTTTGAATGCGATTTACACGCGCTAGAGCGTCTCAGTACCTCTTTTAGCCAAAACTAATCGCTACAAAATGACTGAAGTAGACCTCACCCATCTCACGAATGTCGACCAGACGCGCTGCTGTTTGGTGTCTGTGTCGCTAAGAAATCTGATTATCGCGAAGCAAAGCAAAACGGAAGCAACTAGAACTCGGACACAATAGTACTTTTCATCGTGCTGCTTCTTCCAAATGTGCTGCCACCAGGATGCAACCTAAAATATGTAATCAACCCACAAACAAGTCACAAAATGCATGCTTAGGAACATTTGAAAGCCGGTTCACTGTTCCCGATGGATGCCGTAACCTCTAGTCACTTGCCTTGATTGTTGCTTTTCATCATTTCAGCTTGAATCAGATAGTGATTTTGTTCACGTGTACGACGGACCCGCAAGCCACGAGAATCTTTTGGACACGTGGACTGGAACATGCTTACCGTCGCCACGAATTTCGACGCGCAACAGCATGACAGTCGCAATGCGCACAGACAGTTCGCTGGAATTTCGCGGTTTCTACGCAACATACGACACTTGTAAACACCGGTTTTTAATGTCACATCACAATCTAGAATTTCCGCGGTCATTCTTCCGAAAACATAACCGCAGTTTGTTATATGTCAGTCCGATTTCATTTTCCGATCCGTGTGAGACTGCGGGGAATAAGTTTCACCATTCTGAAGAAATAGTGCTCATCACAATCCCACCAGAAATATTACACTAGAATCTTGTTCATACCAGAGCCTATCTAACTTCCTGGAAAGTGAACTTCTGGCAATTGAGTTGCTAGACAAGCACACATCTGATGTTCCTGAATAACCATACCTTAGCAGGTGAATGCCTCCTCAATTAAGCAGTCTGACTGGTTTGCCCGGCATATCAGATGGCGATTCATTGCATGCCTATGTAACCTGAGTGAAAAGGTCTGTCAAGACGTTCTCCTAGCCGATGCCACAGACGCTCAAACGCTGGATATTTTCGGTTGCTTGTAGCCGGGCAATGATTCTGAAGCAGACATGCTCAGATTGGCAAATACGCTCATTGTCAGCATTTTGGTTTGTTGAATTAAGGGAGGAATGCTAGAATGGGAACAGCTTGAATTTGATTCAGAAGGATTCATGCAACTACCAGAAATTACCAAGTCATTAATTATTTACCAGCGCTGATACTTCTCACTTGAAAGCTGCAGTAATTTTATCTAAGTTAGCATTAAAGCACGCGACGGCCCAGAGCGCGAATATGCTGGAGGAAATATCCGTGGTTCGAACGTATACCCAACATATCATTTCTATATTTGAACAACCTTCTTGCATCTGAAACTCCGTGGTGCGTCACCATCCAGACGAAAAATTTTTCTGGTACCACAGCAGTTTGTTCTGCGGTTATTGGTTAATCTAACGGACAACTTCGATCACAAGAAAAGCAACATTCACAATTTTGTCACCAGGATTTCCGTTTTGTTCATGAGCAGAATGGGTCAACCGAAGAAAATTCCATTCTCCACAATGGTTGAATTAGCTCCTATGTCACGATGAGGACTGGTTGGAGCTTATTACATACCATTTGAATGAGTAGATGCGTGATAAATTGGCCCATGGCACACCGTGTAAACATCTAAAGTAGACACCAAAAATGAAACTGTCTAGAACTTCCCGCCTGGTGATCTCTTCCTGACTGAGGCCGTCTTTATCCTAAGAACTGAATTGCGGTGCGATTTGATGAACCACATTGGGCTCCTGTATTTTCGAGCTGAATTTTTCAAGAACGACAGCATTAGCAGTCTACGAGAATGAAATTTTTCACAATCTACTGATGGTCAAGTATAAGAAATATGATTGCAGGAATATTTAGAGAGTTTCATTTTGGTTGCAATCATCGTAATTTCCGCAACGATCCAATTTACCAAACGAGTATTTTTACTAGGGGTCCATCTGCAGTACAAGTTTGCGAGTGAAGTTCAGTGATCGGATGCCCATTTAATTTGAAGTGGCAAAAGTATGTACGTCATGGACGCATTCATGTCTGTCGACTGCATTCGTTCACCTCAATTCCCGTTGATTTCTAATAGAAGCATGACGCAGTCACTTTTCTTTTACCTGTCGTGTTTATTTTTCCGGATTCCAGTTGCACAAAATTCCAAAGACTATAAATCTTGCCTTATTTGCCAGAACTTAACCACAAATTACAAATTAATACAACAGGTGAATTGGTCAATCGTGAACTCCTGTTTTAGTTGGCGGCGGTATTACGCGTTGCAGCTATTCCCACATCTTTATGTTTGCCACACAATGTATGCGAATTTTACCGAAATCAATGGAGGTCAGAATTACCTCCAAAAAGTTTGGTCATAGTCCAGTACATAAACAGTACTACCTTTTTTCTGACTAGCTCCTTGTGACTCCGTTTTATTCTGAGCTGCCCATTTCCTACGTTGCTGCTAGAACCAAGATCAAAGCACTACTAAAATCTATTCATGCAAATCCTTGTGCTGGCAAGCATACTACCCCCCGCTGAGAAAATTAAAAACAGTGCTACACCCTTTTTTCATCTATGCCTTTCAGGTAAACGACAGCCGCTGAACGACAAAAAACAAAACTGACTCCGGAAATCTGGGAAAAAGCCTCGATTCTGTATTTCAATACGTGAATCCGTGATTTGTGGCAGATAGAATGTTGAGCAAAACAAGGCCTTCCAAGATATGCGTTTTTAAAGCTTACCGAATGTTCAGACCTTTGTTTAGGAGGGACACCTTTAAGTTGAAGCAACAGTGGTGGGCTCTTTCCAGAGTATAACTTTGTCGTGCAGTATACCGAGGAAGTCTGAATGGACTTCACTGATGACTTTAAAATAAGAAAGGCGATTTAATACAAGTATTCTGCTGATCAAGCAGTACAGTTGGAATTACAGTGACTTCGGTGAAACGGCACTTCCGGATGGCCAAGATCTAGCTACGAAACTATGCACTTTAAATTTGCGTAAAACCAGAAGCAGTTAGTGAGGACCTTGTGTGTTGCGCTCTGTCGGTTTCAACCTAGTTATATATAAGCGTGTATTCCTCATTTTATTGCAGTGTGTGGGAGTGAAATACCAAGTGCGTCCCTGCCATTTCTTATAATCATGTGCTATAATTCGAAATCAGCAGCAAATATAAATAATGCCGTAGGCGTTGATCCCTTCAATTAAACTTTGAAATGACACTTAAAGCACCAATGGGAAAACAGTGTATAGGGGGTCTATATACGAATAGAAATGGACTGTAAACATAACAGTTCAAACTTCTAATCCAGAATCTTTCAACATATCCGCGCGCTAGGTATGTGAAAAGTTAAACGTGGCATTATGTTTGTAACCCAGAACATGAAAATTGCGCATCCACAATTGCTAGAACGTAATTGTGTTATCGATATGCAATCTTCTGCAGCAAGTAATTTATTTTGTTCGGTTGTTGCACACAATAGTGGTCTTTCCACCGCAATTTCGAGTGTAATCCAATGTGCTGACCTTCTGGATAAGAACGAAACAAAATATCTTATGGAAAACTGCCTTGGCGTATCCTAACATCGATCAATCACATTTGGAAGCATTTGACTGGTCTGCTGCAATTTGTCACGCATGCTTCCTTGGGTGTAATCTCAGATAAAATGCAAGGCAGCTATAAGTTGGGCTTGATTTGCAAGACTCAGGGAATACTATGCACTCTGGAACTCACAAATATCTGGCTTCAGCGTATTACTCCGTGCATGCCTAAATCTCGATCATCAGTGGTCGCAGCAGAATCATTACAACATTTTGAACAGGATTTATGTTGTCTCTAAAACCCAGTTACCCGAATATTTCCCATCAGTAACGATATCAAATCCAAAAATACTCGGCTCTTAAAGCCGTTGATTACACATTCCAAAACAATTTACAACACCGGCATGGGGATGTATTATCTGACTTCCTAAATGAGTTCTCGCGCATCATTCAGTTTACTTTTGAAAGTTGTACATACTAAGAATTATAACATTGTAACCTAGTTGATTTTCTTTGAAAACTGGTCTATTGTGTTCAGGTTGGCCGCATTATACAAAGTTACCTGACAGATCCAAGAGCCGCTAGAGCGTGGATGTATAAATGCTAATGCTTCTGCTGGGGGAATGTAGATCAAAAGACACGCTCATAGGGTCATTACCATACTCCGTTTTTGGTTAAAACAAAAGCATAAACACTCGTTTGGGGAAGTAAATATCAAGTGGAAACGGTTATACCGGGAAATAAAGTGTTGCAATGAAGAACGCTGGGTCCAAAACGCAGCGTTTCCCTACATTGCCCTGTTTACTAGCTTGTTTTCCGCACCAGCTTTGCCTGGTACGCGTTATGAATAGCCCGTCACACTATAGGCGAGATTCCATAATCGACGCTCTTATACCATTTACAACAAAAAGTCATGCATAAGGCCGGAAAAAACATGGTATTAAGTTGGTAAATCTTTGCAGGATGAATGTACGACATTTGGAACATTTAACAGGAAATCGTTATTCGATTCTCGTGAAGAGTTTTCCGTAAATTTCACACTGCCAGGGAATAAAAATTCACAGCCTCAATGACAATAAGTACTTATAGGTGTAAATTGCATTTGCTTGTATGATGACCTCTTATCTGGTATTTTGTAACCCTCTGATGTAACTTTTAATGCCATTCGTTCAACGCGAAAATTACCTGAAGCACTGAGGTCCCGCTATCCGAACTATTTTTCTTCTCAGATACTGGTCCCATGAGCCGAATTTGGAGCGGTGTTTCCAGTATCATGCAGAATTTGGCCAACCGAGTCGCTCAAGTAGGTGGATACTTTACCGTAAGTATCTGGTGTTTTACAGCAGCATTCCTAATGGTTTTTGGTGTACGTAATATGTGCACCGTGTCCCGTGTAGGTACACAGAATCCACACACACGAGTTGGACGGTTAAGATAAGGGTCACGCGGGGATTTGATATTGTGCGAAACCATCGACAGAAACATTAGATGTGCGAGTTGTTACGTCATTTGTTTAGGTCGACCGCAATATCGCAATGACGTTTTTTTCAAATTGCTAATTGGCCGTTGATCAGATGTATGTTTATCTGTTCACCTTGCTTGCCAAATGACTTCCAATCGCTTCCTCATCATATCGGATTGATGAGTATCTGCGAACCGTTAAATTGATCGGCCATTTAAGTGATAGTGAATTTTTGTTTCGTTCATCATGTCGATTGCATTGTGGTTTGCGTTCCTTCGAGTCGATTAGTAATAGCAATATACTCCAAATTTGGTAGTTTCTATTTCCCCTTCCTTCTCGATTTGCAATAAACATAGTTCAGATACCTAAAAATAATTGGTTAGCGACACCACTCTAAATAATTCGTTGAAAAGATCAGCGGCCTTGAGTCCACCGTTTGATTTTGGCACTTTATTGGCTGCGCGCCTCCTCCTATCCAAGTAGTACGTTCGATTAGATCGGCCCCTTCTTTCTTTTATGAGTAACTTGTCTGATTGCTTGATTTGTCCAGAGTTTCT